CGGAGGGGCTGCCACATAAACGGAATCCTCCCTTCCTTCTGACCTTTTAACTCCTGGTTCAGCTGAAGCCCTCTGCTCACCGAGCATCCAGCAGGGCGAGAGCAAGCTCAGTCCCCGCACTGTCTGCGCAGGTACCACTACTGCCCCTGCCACCTCCTTTCGGCTCTTCTTCCCGGACCCCACAGGCACGAAGCAGCTTTGTCCCGCCTGCCCCTGCACCATCACCTGACCTCCCCTCCCCTCCCCCTGCCCATGCACCATCTGCTGACCTCCCCCTGCCCCTGCACTATCTCCTGAACACCCCTCCCCTCCCCCTGTCCCTGCACCTTTCTTCCCAGCCCAGAACGTCATCTGCCACAATCCCCTGGCAGATTCTAGTTACCTGAATAGAGTCTGGCTAACCACGTGGCCCCAGCCACCCCCTTTCCTCATGCCTCACACCCTACTGCAGCCCCTCCACCTGTGCCATTCTGCATCCTCACCTCCCATCTCTCCAGCTCACACCCCCACCCCCATCCTTTACCTACCACCTGCCTCCTCCAACCTTCACTCCTGCCCAAAGCCTCCCACTGCCCACCCCACCGCCAGCTGTGTCTATGTACTGGCAGCAGGGAGCGCACCTGGAAGTAGTTGAACATGGCCTGTTTGACGTAAGCGATGTCGTGTGGTGCTGCTTCCAGGTTGTCCATGGCGTCAAACACGATCTTCACCGCTTGGTGTGCGATCCAGTAGGCTGCGGAGAGCAGGGCAGGGCCAAGATGGAAGCTCTTGCCGAGGCTCCCAGCCAGACCAGGGCAGTGATCTCTGGGTGTTTTTCGGCAACCCAGGTTTCCTGATTCCCAGCCTGGGGCTCGGGGGCCTCTAATCATGCTGACTGACTCAGGGAAGGGAAAGCTACAGGGGGAGACAATAGGTGAGGCTCGGCCGGCTCAGCAGCTCTCCTCCAGTGAGGACAAGGCCGGTGAGCTAGCCCGAGAGCCAACAGAGTCATTGCCAGGGGGCCGAACCCCAAGAACCTCCCGCCGAACCTGGCACACATGCTCTCTCTAGAGCAGACTCAGTCCTAACAAGCCACATGGAGCTATGCTGATGGAGCCAGAGCCTTGGAGCTGGGGGAGCCGGGTGGAGACCCACGCCAGCGCTGAGATGCTTCCACTGCCGCTGTATCCACAAGATGTTCTACCCGCTGGTCTGTGATCTTCCTGCATTTGGTGTCATTGCATGTGTAGCATGAGTCTGAAGAGGAATCTATAGACTGGTATCAGACTTATGGACTTGATCTGGATTGGGCTGGGATGTTTTCTCAATATTCAACTGCTCTTGTATATACAGTTCTTTCTTATACACCTATGAGTGTCTGTGAATTTGTTTCTCTAGTCCTCTCAGACTAACATATTATGCCAGCATGCCCTGGCAGCGACAGCCTTAACCTTCTTACTTTCAACGCTTCCCAAGCCAAAAGCCCACTGCTATTCAGTCCATTCCAACTCCGTGACCCTGTTTAGAGTTTCTGAGGCTGTGACTCTTTATGGGAATAGCCAGCCTCATCTGCCTCCTTGGAGCAGCTGGTGGGTTTGAACTACTGACCTTGCAGCCAGCAGCCCAACACTTACCCAGCTGCGCCACCAAGGCTCCTCTGCTCTTCCATCCCCAAACTTCCAACTCACTTCCATCAAGTGGATGTCAACTCACAGTGACCCTGGAACTGACCCTGTGAGTTTCCGAGACTGTAACTCTTTATGGGAGTAGAAAGCCCCATCTTTCTCCTGAGGAGCAGCTGGTGGTTTTAAACTTCGAACTTGGCAGATCGCAGCCCAAGGACTGAGTAACCACCCCGGCACCAGGGCTCCCAAACCCTGGTCCAGGGAGGGGAGCCAGTGGCCACTGCACTGCAGCATGAACTGGAACCCTGTGTTTAAGTCAGTGCTGGTGGACGGTTGGCAGCAGGCGTTGCACCCGCTTATCCAGTCTCCCAGTCTCTGCCCAACGACAGGGAGGTGAAGTGGTACAGTCCTGGAGCTGTCCTCACAGAGTGCTCCGGGGCTTCAGTGGTCCTACCTCCACTAGGGTAGGACCTTGCAGCTAGCAGCTCACTCCAGACCCAGGCAGGGGGCACTCACCTGAGCCCTCGTCCCCCATCAAATGACCCCAGCCCCCACAGCCGCTCTGGGAGCCATCGGGGTTGATGAGCCTGCAATTGGAGCCTGTCCCAGAGATGAGCACAATCCCACCTGGAGAAAGGAAGGCACAGATGGCGTCAGCGTGGCCTCAGGTAGACCGGTCCCACTGATCCTGGGGGAGAAGTGGGGTCCAGCTAGCTTCCTGCCAGAACATGGCCAACGTGGAGCGGCCAGGTCTCAGAGACACACCAGTCACACAGACCACTTCTCTGGGGGCCAAAGAAGAACTGGGGTCTGTCTTGGGCGGCAGCTCCCTGCCCAGCCAACTTTCAAATGACAACTTGCTTGCTGCGTACTGAGTGCCAGGGACTGTGCTAGACCCAACACCCTCCACCACCACCTCAGGGTTAACATGCACTCCAGCCTACAAGGGAGGAAAGGGGGACCTGGGGTTCCAATGGCAATCTCCTGGGGCCCCTGCTCTCCCCAAGCCCCTCCCACCTTCCTCTGGGTTCTCAGTGTCTTCCTCACTCCATGGCCCTGGAGGCTCCCTTCTGCCCCTAGGTCTGAACACCCCACCCCTTGCTCCCCTCCCGCTTCAGCCCAGTCCTGCCTCTGAAACACGGAAGCTGAAGGAGAGGGGCTCTTGGGGCTGAGGCTGCCTTCCAGGTCCTGGGAAGTCAAGTTTTACCAGCTGGATCCGAGGGGCTTTCCCAAGGATATCAGTTCGCAACCTCACCCCTCCCTCCACCTCCTCACCATCCGGCGTGGCTGTGGCGATAGAGCCGGCGGCATCGGTGGTGATGAAGTAGCTCTCACTCAGGTAGGGAAATCGGTGCCTCAGCTCCTCCGTCAGGATCCTCAGCGCATTCTCCTGTTCCCCACCGCTCAGGGAGAGGCCCTAGGCCACCCAGGAGGTGAGCAAGGGAGCTAGCAGGGGCCCAGCCCCAGCTCCTTTCTCAGCACCCCTGGCTCTCTTCATCTGCACTCACCAGTCCCAGCCCTCCCTCGGCCCTCCGTCAGCCCCACCGAGGGCTGTGGCTGAGATGGGCCTGGACTGGGGCAGACAAACAAATGCAATACCACCCAGCTGGGAATGGAGGACAGAGGGTGCCCTTATAGGAGTCAGGTGGAGGAGGAGGGGAAGAGAGGTTAGAGAGGCATGGTTTGGAATGCACAGGGGTGGCTGTGCTTGAAGAACACGTGGGGGTTGTGGCTGGGGGGCCAGGGACACTAGAATAACTTCAGAGAAAGGGATAAGCTGGGGCTGATACTCGAACCCAAAACACCAAACTCACTGCCGTCGAGTCGATTCCGACCCATGGAACTGCGCCTCTGGGTATCCGAGACTGTACTCTACCAGAGTGGAAAGCCTCATCTCCCTCCCGTGGAGTGACCGGTAGTCCCGAACCCACAGTGTAACCACAATGACACCAGGGCTCCGGGAACACTCCTCGTGAACACTGGAGTGCTTCCAGGCCCTGCTCTGGGCTAACCATTCTGAGAGGCATTGTGTCCTGTGCTCCCTCCACGCTCAGCTGGAGAAAACCAGTCACATACTTAAGATCAAAGCTAAAACTATAGCCAGGGTCTGAGCTGAGGGCTCTCCAAACCACTGACGGCTGTTCCAACCCACGTCTGACGTGCAGGTGGCAACTGCAGCTGCAAGAATGTATGAGCTAAGCGGCCATCTAGCTGAGAAGCGACAAAGCCCTCATGGAAAAAGCACACTAGTCATTGTGATATGAGGTGCTGATGGGATCAGGCATCAGGCATCAAAGACCCAGAGTAAAAAAAATCATAATGTGAATGAGGTGGGGGTGGGGGGTGGGGCAGTGCGGAGTGGAGGCCCAAAGCCAATCTGTAAGCAATTGGACAGCCCCTTACAGAAGGGTCCTGGGGAGAAGAAAGGCCAGTCAGGGTGCAGTATAGCACCGATGAAACATACAGCTTTCCTCTGGTTTTTTAATGCTTCCTCCCCCACCACTATCATGACCCTAATTCTACCTTATAAATCTGGCTAGACCAGAGCATGTACATGGGTACAGATAAGAGCTGGAAACACTGGGAATACAGGACAGATAAACTCCTCAGGACCAATATTGAGAGTAGCCATACCAGGAGGGGAAGGGGAAGGCGGGGGAGGGAGGGTACAAAGGGAGAACCGATTACAATGACCTACCTATAACCCCCTCCCAGAGGGATGGACAACAGACAAGGGAGTAAAGGGTGACATCAGACAGTGCAAAACATTAAAAAAAATAATGCTTTATAAGTTATCAAGAGTTCATGAGGGAGGGAGGGGGAAAAGAATGAGGAGCTGATACCAAGGGCTGAAGTAGAAAGAAAATGCTTTGAAAACGTTGATAGCAACATATGTACAAATGTGCTTGACACAATGAATGTATGTAGGGATTTTGATAAGAGTTGTAGGCGCCCCCAATAAAATGATTTGTAAAAAATGAGCTCACACGTGAGCTTCGGCGAGAGCAGGGACCAAGCTGTCTCCCCGGGGAAGGCCCGCTCCTACTGCTGGCTCTGCCTCAGACTCACCAGACTGCGAAGAGGCACAACAGGGTCCAGCCCCGCTTTCTGCTTGGCACTGTTCACCATCTCATTGATTCTCTCCACACACTTGTCTGTCCCGATCAGCTGACCCCAAATCAAGGGAAAGGGGAGTTACGAAGGCTGGCGGGAACTTGTTGTCCCTGCAGACAGCCACCACCTCAACTAGGTTACAGAGAACCACACCACCACCCAGCCCGCTGGTCCCGCCGGATGTGGCTCTCACCTACCCAGTGGTTCGTGCTGGGTCCATCCGCTTCTGCGACAATCTGTCCATCCTCAGAGAGTAAAAGGACCTTGGAGTGTGTGCCTCCCCTGCGAAACACAAGGGGGCGCTCAGAAAAGCAGGCAGACGGGGGCAGGGCAGGTGGTGCAGCCAGGGTGGCAGCCCCAGTCCGAAGTTAATGGCTTCACCATTGGTCCGATGATGCTTGCTGTGCGGTTGGAATGAGATGTAATTCTTGCTGCTCTTCCCCTGAGGATGCCCTACTTCTCCTGGAAGGTCCTACATCTGTAACACCCAGTTCTCAAAAACTTCCCACCACCTCGGCTCCCTCAGTTAAAGCTTCTCCCTGTCCCTTAACTCTTCAGGATTCCTCTGTATTTCAGAATCATGAGGGTCATTAGTTGTGAGGTTTTTGTTTTGATTTGGTCTCTTTTTTTTTTGGTCTGCTTCTCACAGGTCTATGAACTCCAATGGATCAAGTGCCGTTCGTACCACCCTTCTTCCCTGGCATGGGCCAATGCTTAGGAAAGAACGTAGGCTAAAGAGAGTGCCCTCTTACGTTGCTTTCTCGCTCCATAGCTAAAGGCTGCCTTTCAAGGTCCAGTTCTGACTGCCAATGTTTCAAGAGACCCTTGTGAGGAAGGCCAGCCAGAGTCACTCAGTGGGGTGAGTTTCTACCAGTTAAGCACCTAGACCCTCACATGCTGATTACTGGCACAAATGGTAGACTGGAGGGAGGTCTCTGGCAGTTTGCTGTGTGTTTTGTTCCTAGGTCAGCACTTTTAAGAATGTCTGAGAGAACATTGAAAACTTGTTTTCGAATGACTTAAAGTTTCAGAAGGCGCACATTCCACGTCCACAGGGATTTCATTAAGAGCTGGAAATATGGGCCAGAGCTCACAAATAAATATAGTGTTTGGGCCGGGTCCTGACCATGCAGCCTCTTCCCTCAGCCTCTCAGAAAGAGGTGATCTGCTGGACTTTGCAGTCCCTGCCTCCAGCATTCCAATGATCTCTCCGGGCAGGGTCCACACAGCCTCTCCCTCTCCCTCGCCCTGCCCCCCCCCCCCAAAGCCAGAGGTGGACTGTGCAGCCTCTTCCCCCACATTCCAAGAAGCCGGTCTGTGAAGGGCTCAGACTGGCAGGTGCAGCACCAGGAAACCTCCCTTCTCATCAGCCCAAGCACCCTCAGCTCTCTTCACCTCATTTGCATATTTCCCTGACCCAGATCCTACAAATATCCCACTGCCCCACCGACGGGCGCGATTTCCCTGACCTTACTCAGTGGGTCTCGGAACCGGAACCGCTCGGGAGCTCAAGATGCTCCTGTCCCTTTCCCTGCTCTCCCTTCCCTCCCGGGAGCTCTTTCCCTACCCTCATAACGCCGCTCTTAACCTCACATTTTTGTCTCAATCCTATCTCCGTTCCGTGCCTGTGTGGACCTCTCATGCAGTAACAGGGGTGAGGGCAAGCTTAAAAACACAACCAAACCTAGAATAGACGTGGGATCCGCCGGCCAGCTTTATTAGCAATAAAGAAAAAAACCCTCAGTACTTCGGAGTGGGCGAGTCTGCAAGTGAGCAGCGGCTGCTAGAGAAGCGAATACAATGTCAGATGGGAAGGGGCAGCGAGCCCTGGCTGAGAACCACAGCCCCCCTCTAGGACGGCCGGGTTTGCCACATCTAGAGTCCCGGAACTGTCCGTGGCAGCGGCCTGGGCAGTCACGGTTCATTGTTCCCTTCGTGTTATACATTGTATATATGGAAAATTGAAGTCCAGAGAGATCAAGAGTCTTGCTCATATTCATACTGAGAGAAGCGGGGAAAAGTAAGAGGGAAAAAATCAAGTTGCTGAACAGGAAGAATACTAGTACAACGAGGGGTGGGAGGGGTGGGGGGGGCGTGTCGCCATTTCCCGGTAGCAGGCAATCATTCCGTCTTGCAAACTGCCCCAGCTCCCAGATACCCTCTAGTAACGATCTTTGACCCAGCTTCTGCCCCACACCCCATTCCCAGGTTACTTCACGTCTTCACATTTGCAAAACTCTCTAAGGGTCCCGAGGGCAAAGGAGTTCCTTTCCAGCGGGAGACGCCGGAGAGGTTCGTCCGTGGAGGCGTGATTCCGCCACAAAACGCAAAGGATGCCCCCTCCGAGGCCGTGGCCGGCGCCGAGCCCCTGCCCGGCA